TAAAAAGTACTTTAAACTGTATAAATAATGTAAAATTAAATTGATTTAAACAGCCAATCATACGAAAGTCTTCCTATAGGGACAACTTACCGAAGATTATGTGGAATTTTGGCATGTGATTTTTGATTTATTTGTTTTTTTTTTGTTTGTTTTTTATTTATTTATTTACTTACTTTGACAGTAGGCAAATTAACACTTTTAAAATTGCGTAGGTTCATAACTTCACAATAGCGAGGTTAGTTTTTTTAAGATTATAGTCTATCAATTTATCATATTTTCACTCAATTATACTTATATTAATAACGCTTCTAAACTTACAGCAACACCGATTTATACACTATTTTAGTGAATTTAGTCATTTTACTCTCCAAAGCCCACCTGCCCGAAATGCTATTTTTCTGACCCATAATTCCCGTAATTCTGATACCTGCTTTCTCAATGCGATCCATTTCAAATAACATAGTTCACTGACATTTATTTCACCGATAGCTTATTTCACCGACAATTATTTTACTAAAAGTTAATTCTGAACATTTTTATTAGTGTTAGTTTAGAATTAAAGTTAAAGTTAGTGCAAAAAAAAATAAAAAAAAAACATAGTGAAATTAGCTGTCACGGTGAATTGATTGTTAGTGAACAGATCTAATTATGTTCCGTTAAAATAGTGTTATAGTACGATTTCATTATTTCAGAAAAATGTGCTTCAGGAATTAAACCCGGAACTATTTCAATAATGAATGGGTTCATATTTTAATAGTAAGTGAACTTACATTTTATTAGTATGTTCGTTATTCATAGTTGATTCCTAACTTTAACATTGTATTTTGCTGTGAATTTGTTTTATCGTGTTTAATTCATAATTTCAGGGTGATCAAAGTTGCATTTGAAAAATCATATCTCCACCCACACCCTATAAAATGCAATATAGCATTCAAGTATCTAAAACCGCTGGTAAGTGATTAAATCAGTACAAGTTAATTTCATATTGGATTTATTTTATTATAACTATTTATTGTGGCAGATTAAAATAAAATCAGATTAAAATGAAATGAGGGATTGTGTAAAATAGACAAGCCACCAAAAAATACAAATTTTTGGGATGCATTTTTTTAGCATTTTTTTAGGGTTAGGATTAGGGTTTAGAAGCAGGTTTTATAATAAACAAGTATAAATGGGTTTTAGAGGGTCAAATAGAAATCCCTCATTTTATTTTAATTCGATTTCATTATGATCTATGATATTTATTAATTATTATACTTATAAATTGAGTCAGGAAGGGTTTGGAGCCGCCATTAAGTTATTTTAATAGGAGTATGCCAATGTGTTTTGACTTTATCATAATATGTTAATTTATAGCTATTTGCTTACTTCCTAGAATGCCTGAATAAAGCTTACCTGAATGATTTTTTGGCTGATTCGATTTATATATTGCTTGAATGCTAAAATATCAACACATTCAAATTATTAAATTATATTTTACTATACTGAAATCACAATCTTAATCTAATTAGCCAAAAAGCATTTGCCTAACTTTATCAAGCATTGTAAAACCAGCTGTAATATAAAAAAATTTGATTTTTATATTTGGATCCGCTGGCGTAGATTTATTATTATAAAGCCATTTACAAGCATACTGAGTAGGAAAAGTTCGTAGCCACTGGTAAGTAATTTAGATGTTAATTTTGTATTGATTATTAGCTGCAAAATATTCACTTTATATTTACAGTCTGAATTATAGTTGCTGGTAATTTCTAAAAAAAAATATTAGTAAAAAATAAAAAAATAAAAAAATAAATTGTAATAAGTTTTTATATTATTATAGAATTATAAATATTAAAAAAATTATTTGGCTTTTATATTTGCAATTAAATATGAATTTTACTAAAATACACCTATTGTGTTTTATATCTATATATATATTATCTCAAAAACTGGCTAATTAATTGGTGTAAAGTATTCTAAGTAAAAATATTCTATGTTCCCAAAAACCTTTTTCAAATTCTAATCCTAACTTTAATATTAACTTTAATGTAAAAAAATTGTATTACAAATTTTATATACAAATTTATAAAAACTTAAAAAATTTTAATAATATAATAAAACATATAATAGGTGCAAAACCACTATAGTGTGTTTTATAATAATTGATTAATTTAATTTTACAAAACAACGGATACAGACCTAGATTAATTTCAAATTATCTATTAATTATTGAAAAAATACTATTAAGACATTATTTTAAAGAATACTATTAAGAGAATACTATTGAAAAAATACCGTTGCAAGGCAACGGGTTCAGACCTAGTCTATATATATATATTGTGGAGTGTCTGTCACATATTATGCGTTCCGGAGGCACAGGTGTCACCGATCTGCATGAATTGCCTACAATACAATTTATATTGGATCTGCAGATTGTGTAACTTAATTTATGCGTTCCTTATGTTACAAGCTATTACAGTCAGGGGATATCCCAAATTAGGAATCAGGGTTCTAGAAGGATCTACGCAAAATTCTTACAATTTGATTGGCGGTATGCTTACTTTTTTTTACCGGTTTAGCATGAATTTTTATAGGTAATTGTCTAATACTAAAAACTCTTTGAACATATAATATTTGACCTCTAGTTTCGATAATCAAAGTTAATCAGTCAAGTTTCACTTTATTAGCCAAAGTAAATGAGACCTCAAATTATGCATTCGCGTGTAGTTAATACATACAAAAGAACAGAATTTCACTAATTAAAACGGTTACATTTTTTTTTTTTTAGTGTCTATTTACCAAAGACCTAAAGCGCATACTCTCAAGCAGTGTTGGCACATTGTCATTTAAAATAAATGACAATATGTCATATGACAAGTCATTTTTGTCCTAAAAAAAGTCATTTATTTTTTATGACTACCTGTCATTTATGAATTATATAATTTTTATTGACCAATAAAATGTTATAATTAGCAAGAACTAAAAGAAGTAAAGTAGAAGCCTTTAAGCTATACTCTATGAATTTTCAGCACTATCCAGTTCCCGGTTATACTGATTCAAATTTTAGATTATGTATTCAAAAATTGAATCTAAATAAGGTTCAATATCTGAATACCAAAATTTTATTAACAGATTTTTAATAATAATTAAAATCTTAATTTAAAATATATATGTCGCTAAATAAAATCATAAAAATGACTTTTTGTATGATATAATACAGAATTTAAAAATTCGGGTAAATTGTAATTTTAAAGAAACGTTAGATTATTTTAGTTACTTCAATTATGTATTTTTAATTATTTTTTTTAATCACATGTAAATCTTTAAAAACCCACACTCTGTCATACAAAAAGTAAATTTCTAGATTTTTATTTAGTAGCATTTATATAGTAACAGACTTTAAAGCTTCAGTATTTTATTTTATTAAATTATGATTTGTATATTAATAATCGTTATCTTAATTTATAAGCTTATTGTAATAGTTATCTTTTTAATATATATTCGAGCAAATAGCAATAAAAAATAATGCTAGCAGAAAATGAAAAAGATCGATAACTTTAAAACAGCAAATAATAATTGTTTTTTTATAAATTTGTTATAGATATAATCTTATAAGTAATATATAGCAATTTATAAAATTTAAAATCTATACTATATATTTTAAATTTAATTCTAAAATTTAAAACCTAATAACTAAAGTTTCAGCTCACAAAACGTCACTATTTTTTTTTAGTTATATTTAATCTCCTAATAACAAATTATGAGAAGCGGGTTGTTCAATATTATCTTGAAAAATTTGTAATAATGGCCATTTAGCATTATGACTAGTCGCAGGGTAAACTACTTCATCTAAATCTTCCTCAGATTGTTCATCACTTAAAAGTGCCAACCAATTTTCGATAATTTCTTGCCATTGACTATCATTATTAATATTATTACTTACCTGATAATATTCAGAATCAGATTCTTGAAATAAATCGTTTTCTTCAGAATCTGAAGATATAGGTAGTATAATATTAGGATGGTGAATTTGGTTTGCTGATTTTTTAATAGCATTTAATTTACGTTCTTGAATTATTTTGCCTCGCAATTGACTCATTTCAAGAACCTTTTTGTACTAGAAATAATGTTAATAATCAATTTTAAATTATTATACAATATAAAAGTATCTAAAATCTTAAAGATCACAATCTTAATAATGTTAAATAACTTTGAGCCTGCCGAATATATATATATTCTGGATTAAAATCATTCTAATTCAGAATTCAAGATTCCCATTCAGTGTAGCTTAATCCTAAATTAGTGAATTAAGACGATTTTAATCTGAGGTAATATAAAATAAATTTTTAATAAAGATTTAACTTATTTCTTTTAAAAAAATCTAATGAAGAAAACCACCAGTATCCTGGAATCTTTCAGGAGTAAAAATAAAAAAAATCTAATAAAGCTTAAGAATAGCGTAGAGCCTTTAGTATTATTTTATATAACTATCCTAATTACTATATCAAGATTATAAAAGTATTAATAAAAATAACTTGTACGATACTGACTATAGCATTTAGATACTATTCAATAAACTATCAAGTTTTTTGAATAATACCTGCTTAGGTACTATTCAATAAACTATCAAGTTTTTTAAATATTACTTGTTCAGGTACTAATTATAAGAAGAATACTATAATAAAAAGATACTTTAAATAGTTTTAATTTTAGATTAATAAGAATTTTGAATATAAATATATATAGTTTTCTTAAATAATATCAAGGCATTTTTATAGGAGATATTATAATAAGAGTACTATAGTCAGTACTAACAGGAGGGAACATACCCAATTCAAAGTTAATTCTGCTAATCCCATACATGGTGTGATCAATTAAAACTAATATAAACAATTTCAGTTTTAATTGATTACACCATATGTGGGATTAACGGGATTAACTTTGGATCAGGTATGTTCTCTCCTGTTGTCAGTACTATATAATATTATTTTAAGAGTGTATATAATTCTATTAGAGTTATGATCTTTAAAATTTAAATTAACTTTAATTTAACATACCCCAAGCCGATTTCTATGTTTACTATGTAGAAATCCCATAGTTGAAAATAATCTTTCAACAGAGGCACTATTGACACAAATTCCAAATAACTGAAGTGCTAGATTTGCAAGTTCTTTATGGGTTCCACATTTAATAAAGGTCCAATACTTAATTATGTCACCATTAAATTGATCGAATGGTATTGCATCAAAAGGTGAATTATTTGCCAAGAAGTCTTCAAGTTCTAATAAAATGATTTTAGGCCTTATATCAAACCATTGTGTGTAGTAATAAACTGCCTATTTTCCCAATATTGGTGCTGATAAGCTATTTAAGTGAATGCTAAGTTTCTTTAAACCATATGTAGGGTAAAGTAACCAAGACAATATAAGAAGTGGCTGTTCCCATTGAGCCCACTGTCTCTCTAAACGTAACAACATATGTGAATGGAATGGTGAATCAGGTGTTTTTTGTATAGTGTTTACCATCCATGCATATGCATGCATAATATCACACAGACGTGCTGATTCGCATTGAAGTTTATTAAGTGTAGCGCAGAATGGAAGGAGGATTTCACTGAGCTCTTTTAAATCATTCCAAAACATAGAATCTTCAATAATTTTAACTATATCAGATGGAACTTTTTTATTATCTGAATCATTAGAATTTTCTGAACTGGTTACAAGTATCTATAATAGTAAAAGGATAATTATTATTATAATATATTTGTGAAGATTCATATTAGTTCACTGACAATCACTTCGAAGAGAGTTCATATTATTTTATCAACAATCACTTCACAGATATCACATTTTACTGACGAGTTCATTTTACTAATAATTCATTTCACCGAAGCTCATTTTACTAACAAGTTTTTTTTTATAAATTGCACTAACCTTAACTTTAATTCTAACTTAACTCTAATGATAATGACCAGAATTATTTTGTTAGTAAAATGAGCTTCGATAAAATGAACTATCAGTAAGTTGATCAGATCTTCTTTAAAGATATACATTCTACTAACACATATTTTACTGATAAGCTTATTTTTACAAATTATTAATTTATAAAATTTACAGAAAGTTCATTTTATAGACAGTTTGTAAAATAAGCTTATTAATAAATAAAATGTTTTTGAAGTGATTATTGATAAGTTGATCGAAACCAGACTTTAAATTTGTGAACTAGAAAATAAAAAAACTTTAATATTACCGTTAATGCACCTTTTGATTTTAAAATACTATAAAAGCTATTGTAAAAGCTATTCCATCTTGTGTCACAAGGTGATGTTAAAACAAAAGCCTTTCCATTATAAAGATTCATTTGCTGATTACGGAGTTGTCCCAACAAGTAAGTAGATGAATTAAAGCAGCTAATAATTTTTATAGCTTGATTCAAAACTTTTTTATATTTTTCTGAAGATTTAAAAATATCTCTGACGCATAGATTCGCTTGGTGGGCAAAGCAAGGAAGAAATATAATATTTGTATACTGAGTACGTAATTCTTTTCTAATTTAAATAATTTGGTAGTTTAAAATAATTTCTTAAATAATTATATTCATAATAATAATACTAATATTCTAATTATACTAAAGAGATACTTACTCTAATCTCTAAATCTCTTAGGTATAATTAGAATATTAGTATTATATAATACCGTATATAATAACTATTTCTTAATAAGTAGTCTGCTAAAAAATTACTATTTGATATTTTTTGACTAATTTTAAGATTTTAATTTAAGCTAAAGATCTTCTTTAGTATAGGTGAGCAATATAAGAAATAAGCTTCACTAATGATTAGTAATTATTAATTTTTAATAGCAGAGTTGCAGAGCTGGCGGAGTTTGCCCACCTATACTAAAGAAAATTCCTAAAATAGCTAATAAATAATATATACCTTGATTTAACATTTTCTCCCGCTGAGTCTGAAACTATACCTATTATTTTAATTTCTTTTGTAGTTAAATCTTCAATATATTTTTCAGTAAACATATTTATATTAATAGCACAACTTCTTTCTAAGCTAATATCTTCAGCATTCCACACAAGTGCTTTTCCTTTAGAAGTAATAAGTACAGTACCCATTATTTTTTGTTTAACTACATTTTTCCACCCATCAAATGCTAAGGTAATGCCAATAGGATCATCTTTTGCCATAATTTCAAACTGCTCTTTTGTAATATTGACTTCTTTTTTTAGAACAGACCCACTCAATTTGCGACGTGAAGGTAATTGAATAGCAGGATTAGCAAGTTTAAAGGCCGCTACAATATCTTCATCCTCTATCCATCTAAATGACATTCCATTCATTACTGTACCACGAATTAAATGTCGTTCAAATTGTTGTTGAATATTATCAGGTAATGGATGACACAAATATTGGTTAACATTTGTTTGCTTTTTTCTTTTAGAAGGGTTGATAATATTTTGAGATGCTATTAAAATTTATTTAATATTAATAATTGCTATTAATTAATGTGACGAATTAAAATGAAATTTTGTATAGTGTAAAATAAACGGTTCTACCACAAAATCTTGACATCCAAAATCTCGAAAACCATAATCCCGATATCATGTGATACGATAATTAAAATTTTAAGGACTGACAATAATTGTTAATGTAATTACTAATTTTTAAATATTAATTATCATGTAGCATGCTGTCAGAATTATGGTTTTTAAGATTTTGGATGTCGGGATTTTGTGGTAGAACCAAATAGATAAGCCACCAAAAAATATATAATTTTGGATGCATTTTTTAGCTTATCTTTAGGGTAGAATTTATATGGAACAAGTATAAGAGGGTTAAATAAAAACTCCAAATTTCATTTTAATCCAATATTATTATAATCTGCGACAATTAATTTAAAATTATTTAAATATGAAAAATTACTTGTGTTTTTTATTTTTTTTGTAGAATTTTCTTCCTCATTAGATTCATAATCAGATTCTTGGGTAGCTTCTTTATCGAGTTGCAAAATTTCTTCTAATTCTTCTTTGGCATATTTTAATGCAAAATATGGACAAGATTTCAAATGATTATAACATAAATTTGCTTTGTTAGTTATTTTTTTGGCCTCATCACCTAAAGCCTCATAGCAAGCACAGCATATAGCTGCCTTATTGCTTTTATTTGCCAGCTCATCAAGTATTTTAAAGTAAGTAGACCATTTATGACGATTACGTCCCATTATTAATTACAAAATTAATGTGATGGTAATAACGATTGCCAAAATTTTAAAAGTTAAATAGATAATTTGCACAATTTTTTAACAATATCTTATTGTCTTTTTGCATACATTATAATTTATTATCCACCAGTAGAGATGCAAATTAGTCTGTTGACTATATTACTTAACAATATAATGATAATTTATTGGCCGGTATAATAAATTAATTTAATGACTTTCCCTTTTTTAATATAATTAAGCGTCTAACTAAATTAGTATCGTGATTGTTAAAACCCGTAATGGCTGAAAGGGAGATGATGATGAATTGAATGTTACAAGGTTTCAAATCGGCATAGAATTCTGCAAGATTAAATTAATGGTGAGAGCTTAACGAAAGAAACTATTATGACGATGCAATTTTATTACTTTCTATACATTTTGATTCATACGAAAGAGAACTGGAACCTACTGTGGTAGATCAATGCAACACATAACATAGTTTCCGAAAAATAGAATTGAAAAACATTAAATTAATAGAGGTCAACAAAGTTCAACCTCAGCTTTGCTAATAGTAACAAAAAAAAAAGAAAATTTGTATTTCTCGATTTCAGCATCCCTGGATGCTGAAATAAAACACGTGATAATTGATATGAATCAGATCATAAGATCGGGGCATATGGGAATAAATTAATAATTCAACGAAGTGACAAAACGATCATTATTGCGAGATCAGATGACTTTATGGGTCACATATTTGTGTTGTTAGCCCTTTTTGGGTTGTTTTGAATAAAATTTGGAAAACTCGTTAGATGCAAGTAAATTCTGGTTTATTGTTGTGATCGTATATGATTGATTGTGGTTGTGATTTATTATGAATATTAGTGAAAGGGTAATTAATAGTAAGGGGAAATCATATGGTTGTTAGTGGGGAAGATTAAGAAAGGGAATTAGGGGCAGTATAGGTTATTTAAGGTGGATGGTTTTTGGTTAAGGAGGATATCTTTCTATTCGCTATCGCTCGCCTCATAGAAGGCTGGCTTGTTTGTCCCGCCCTTTTCCTTCCATTAGTATGTGTTGGGCTCTGAGACTACAATCGTAATGCAAGGACCTGAGTTTTCTAGTTTAATGGGTTCTGTGGCTGTGGTGACAGTGCAAGGTGATTATTGGTAGGATAATGTTAGGTTTGATTACATCTTGGTTATTGAGAATGTGAAGCATGTTTCAGTAGCGAACAGATTTTCTATATGTTTTTTATCTTTGTACAATAAAGTCATCTAACCGAGCTATAATAAAGATCAATAACGCATAAATTAGTTAAATAAGTAAAGAGGAAGTGTTTTCTCTTCATAAGTAATACGCTTGGAACGTATTATTTGAGATACTTACCGTGGTCAACATAGTACAGCGAACAGGAGGAAACATCGATATTACACAACTGATCTTTCACCTGATGTGCAATATATAAAAAAATTATTTTACAATACCAGATCATTCCGTTAGTACATGTTATGATTATAATAAAATGGTCTGGGATTCGGAATGATCTGGTATTGTAAAATAATTTTTTTATATGTTGCACACTGGGTGAAAGATCATTTGTGTAATATCGATGTTTCTTCCTGTTAGTACAGCGTGCTTAACGTTTGAGTTTGAAACCTCTTTGACGCTACTATATTATAACAGAAGTATCATGCTATCGTGTTAGCCTTGTGTCAGTATTAGTGATGCCATAGAATCGTCCTAATAATTGTTGTAACTTGCCTGTAAATTGCTATAACTTGCTGTAACTATATGTAAATAATATAGAAAGTTATGGCATTATTGCTGTAACTTTTTATATTACTTACTATAATTATGGCAATTTATAGGTAGGTTACAACAATCATTGGGACGATTCTACGGCATCACTAGTCAGTATGCGCACTGCCTCATACTGTGTGCTTTAGCAATTACGATACTAATTTAGCTAGATGCTCAATAATACCAGAAAAGTTGTTAAGCTTAGCAATTACAATACTAATTTGGCTAGATGCTCATCATACCAAAAAAGATAAAACCATAACGATAAAATTAATTAATTACGATTACAAATCTATTTATTTAAATAAAGCCTTTAGAAGATTACTTCGGCATGAATTGTAGATCAATTATAAATTTGGAACTGAAGTAACTTGGTTCCTGTACATACGTAAGAAATGGTGTCTTCCCCTGTTTTAGAAAACACGCTAATCTTTATACTGATTTGATAAGATCTCTCATTCTTTATACTGATTTGATAAGATCTCTATAAACTAATTTTATACGTATTGCATACTTGCAAACAACATAATCTTTCACCTTGACCCTAACAAAACTCGGTATTGGATTTTTTCAAGTCTTAAGAAATGCATAAACAATGGGTTCATCCTCGTTGTGACCATGCCATTTTATCGCAGAATCCAAGACTATACTGTCTATGCATATTTCGACGCAATTTGTATATTTGCAATATAATCCAGCAATTTACATATTTGCAATATAATCCAGCAATTTACGATTTCAATTATGACAAACTAATTGTTAGCACGTTATTTATTCAAGCTTCCGGCATTTTTTAAACTGGTTCAATATAGTTTTATATATTTAATTTTTAAATGTTCATGGTTTTTATTTTTCGAGTCAAATTCTTTGCTGATCAGATGTATTGATTGCCAGACCTCAACGAAAGAATTTGCAAGAACAAGAAATATCGCTAGCTTATTTAAGCAACTACTAATAATTAATCCATAAAAGAAAACCGCCAACTGTATATCAAGCCCAAAGCTTGTACAAACAAGGTCATAAATAAATTAATATAAGAATACATATGTATAACAGTGCATAAATAATCATATTAAAGTGTTACTTCGAGTACCTGAACTATGACAATAGTGTAAATGCTTACAAAATAGTGTACGAATGCAAACTTTTACACCCACTGTACTCTGATTAATTTCATTATGTTATCGAAAGAATTTTTATAATAATTCAATGATGTTTATTATGTAATTATTAGAATAAATAAAATTTTTTTTCGTTATCCAATTTTACTTAGATAACATAAAATTCAATTATAAAATTTTCGTTTTATTATCCAAGTAAAATTAAATAACGAAAAGAAAATATTTTATTATTCTAATATTTAATTAATAAGCATCATTGGATTATCATAAAAATTCTTTCGATATCGTAATGAATAAATCAGAGTATAGAGGAATGTGAAAAGTTTTGGGGTTACTGTACGAGTTAATTAGTTATACTAGGAATGGAAGTTTACTCTCTAATGATTATACCTATAACATATTTGTTAGATTTTATAACACAGCTACAATTTTTTTTTATAATACTGTAATTAGTTTAAGGGTCACAGATAGTAGCAGCTGAAGCTATACTGCACATTAACTTAAATTAGTTGTTAGAAGATATAGTCTTTAGTTATGTGTTATTATTCTGTTGATACGTACTTATATATCTATTATATTATGCTAAATAATAAATTATTTGTCATTTATTTGTCATTTATAATGTCATTTATAAAAATAATTTTAATGACTTGTCATTTTGCCATGATTTTATATAATTTTTTTTAGAAAAAATGACATTGTCAATTTAAAATGACATGTCATTTATGTTTATTTTCATAAAAATTTTTATGACCTTGTCATTTGCCAACACTGCATGGGGGTGGCATTAACAATTCTCTTTATTTATTTTACTTTTTTTTTTAAGTTTATATATATTTTTATTAAATTATTACAGGATATTTTACTTAAATTATTACAGAATAACTTAAAAACAATGAAGAATACAATGAAAAAGCAACAAAATAAAATGCATCAAAAAAGCATTAAAAGCACTGAAAAATGATGATGGATGCACTAAAAGAAGCAATAAAAGAAGCAATAAAAGAAGCACTAAAAGTAACAACAAAAGAAGCATAGAAAAAAATAATAAAAGAAAACCAAAAGAAACATCAAAAGAAATGACAAAAGAAACACTAAGAAAAGATAAAAGAAACATCAAAAGAAATGACAAAAGAAATACAAAAAAAATGACAAAAAAAATACTGAAAGAAATGAAAAAAAGAACATCAAAAGAAATTACAAAAAAAAACATCAAAAGAAATGATGAAAAAAGCACTGAAAGAAATGATGAAAGAAGTACTAAAAAAACAATAAAAGAAATACTGAAAAAATAACAAAGAAGCACCAAAAAAGCGATAAAAGAAACACCAAAAGAAGTAACGAATGAAACACTAAAAGAAATAATAAAAAAAGCACCAAAAGAAATAACAAAAGAAGCACTGAAAAAATGATAAAAGAAATACTAAAAGAAACAATGAAAGCATCAAAAGAAGACAAAAAAAGCAGTATACTGAAATTTTTTTGTTTATCTTAAACATAATTGGTTGCTTAAAATATTCTAGATTGCAAATCAGATTCAGGCAGGAAATTAAAGATAGCTTCTGGAGTTAGGCCAACAGAGATCTACAACAATTTGCAGCTCAGAATTTTCTTGACATAAGGAATTTTGGTTTTATAAGTCATTGTGGAACAGATTTCTAATTTACAAATCAGATTTTAAGATCACAGTATAATATAACACAATCAGAAACTAAAATTCTTCTTAAAATATCCTTAATACTAACAAAAGTTTTCTTGGTGATTTTCTATAAAACTATTCAATCTTTATCTAAAATATAATGCTATATCTGTGTGACAAACCTGGCACAGAATCAATCCATACATGCCCTGATATAAAATAACATAAAGCTTTAATTTTGCAAATGTGAAAATAAAACCAGATTATCAAGAACAAAGAAAAGTTAAATTAGATAATGGTTAGAAGATATGTCAAACAAACTGTACTGTTATATAATTTCGAAATAATGATTATATTTATAATAAAATAATTATATTACTTTTTACAAACCTGGTTATTGTTACTATTACTATTATTATTTATAATATCTGTTACTAGTAAATACAAAGCCTCTTTTATTT